CTTATTTATGTTTTGAAACAGTGTCTCACTATGTATTGTAGGCTGGTCTTGAACTCACTATGTAGACCAGGTTGGTCAAGATTGCGAAGTTTATACTCAACTTAGTTTATTTTCCTGATGTCTGAAGAACGCTTTCCCCAAAGACTGCATCCCAGTGAGTGAAGAAGGAAGGCTTGAAGGAACTGCAGCAATAGAATCACATCACAGCCCTTAAATACTTGCTGGGTAACTAATAAAGGCACCTTCCAAAAGCACACATGCACACGTACCTTGGAGAGGACCAGACAGGCAGTCCTGGAAAGCTTCAGTACTGGCCTTTACCTTTTTCCCTTTGCTTTTCTCCAGCAGAAGTGGGGTCTAAATGTGGAATGCCCGGTGCCTTCCTCCCACTCCCCAGGACCCTCTCATGCACACCCACCCAGAGCTGTGGGGCACAGCCTATGGCCAGAGGGGTGTCCTTAACGGGTTCCCCGGGTGACTGAGACTGGACTTCGACTTATTAGCAGGAGTTGCAACCAAGCAGTTAAGCCAGACATCACGCAAAGAGATCGCAGGCTGGCTGGGCCAGGTGCATGAGTAAACCAGCACACCTGTGCATGATGAACTACTGACATGAAGCAGAGAGTTTAGCAAGATTCAGAGCAGGGCTCTGAGTGGAAAGCAAGAGAAGGAGCTTGCTTCGCTCAGGCTGGGCAGGTGACACCACCTCTGCTTTTAGTTAGGCAGTAGGTCTCAGGTCTCTCTCAGCACACGGAAATTGTGTCTTGCTATTGTATTTTAACTATTCAAAAAAACTTATGTTCTGTTTTATGGGACACTAATTGCAAATATCTTGGATCTGAGGAGGCTTACTTTCTTACCACTTCAAGCTCATTGTCAATTAAGGAAAAAGGCCCATTTTGACAATTCTTAAAAGTGATTAACAATCCTTTCCCAAACCTCAGCTTTCAGCAAACTTGCAGCTTCCACAGGAAGTGGGAAAAGCAGAGGTCACTGAGCAAACCAAGGGGAAGGTCTTCAGAGTGCTTCAGAGACAGTCTTACTTTTTACACACACTGCTTTGCCTAAAAAGCTGCTTAGACAGCGTTTTTCAGGGAGGAGCCCCAGAGACCGACGTAAGTCCTTTTCTCAACCCTAGTGCTCTATACAGAGCCGGAGGCAAGGATTACAGTGCAGCTGCTTCCTTGCGTTTTTCTGTTTGTTGGAGATGAGGGTCTCATTATGTAGTTCAGTCTTGCTTTGAACTCACTATGTAGCCTAGGATGGCCTTGAATGTCCCGCCTGGGTCTCCTGAGTGCCGAGATTACAGGAGTGCAGAGTACACCGGCTTCCCAGCTCGTGGCCACTTCCTTGGGAGCTGGAACGCTGGGGAGGTGGGGGAGAGGAAAAGAGAGGAAGGGGAGGCATAGAACACTGATGCAGAGGGGCTGCCCTGGCTTCTTGGGGAGGGCCAGAGATACAGGCGGCCTGAGGGTGTCCCCTAAGCTTTACCAGCAGAAGCCACACCTCTGCCCTCCACATTCAGGTCCACTCTGAGTGAAACAGTCCTTCTGGGCATCGTTGGTTCCCTCAGGAATTATGCAGGACACCGGGTCCTGAGCTGGTCACTATGAATTTCATCTAAATTCTGAGGCAGAAGGGCAAGTTGGCGTGAGTGTGCTCCGCAGTGTGGTTGTGGGTCTCAGGGCCACACCTTGCATTCTGGGCAGTTCCAGGCTTTGAGAAGGACTGAAAGGCCACTGTGGGTGGGAGGGATGTGAGCAGTGGGCAGCACCTTTGGAAATAGGTGGCAAGGAAGGGACCCTGTAGGGACCCTCAACTCTCACGTCTAGTACGGTGTGATCTCAAAGACTTCTTCCTCATCCCAAACTTACTACAAAAGCGATTAGCAGAACATGACAGGGGCTAGGCCTTCTGTCAGTTTTGCTTGCTTAGGTTCAAATCAGGGCAGAGGTTTGCTCAGAGCAGGCTTGCTGGATGCTGTCTCCCTGCTCCAAGGCCCACGGTATTTTGCTTGCTTGCTTGCTTGCTCCCTTCCTTCCTGACTTTCTTCCTTTCTTCCTTGGCTTTTTAAGGTACCTATTCACAAGTCCACTTGCTCTGGCCTAGGCAGCACCTCTTTCTTCCTTAGCAGCATCCTGAGCTTGGGCCTGCGGTCTCAAGATTATGACTGTGAATGATACAGTAGCCTCAAGAAAGCGGGGTCAAAGTCTCAAAGTAGTAGGTGCAGCAAAGCTGGCTCTGACAAGAAGCAGGCCTGAGAGCAGAAAATCATGGCTGGGCTGCCAGTGGCTCGGCTGGGTTTCCAGCTGGGTTTTCTCATCTCAGTCTCTCGCCTTGTTGCCTGGGTACCACATTTCTCACCTGCTGAGATGACGTGGGAAGTCAGGTCCACAGCAATGGTGTGGCACTGCTCTGAGGGGCTAGACACATCCAGCCACCAGTGTCTACAGTGCTACAAAACTCTCAATGTGTGACAGAAAAGGTTTGGGCCTGTCTAGCACTTTCTTTCAAAAAAGTGACAGAATTATGCATATTTTTCCAGAAAGAATATGCATTTTCCCACAGATCATTCATTGTTTTGCACTTGAACACTGCTGGAAATGTGTGTGCGTCTCTGTGTGTGTGTGTGTGTGTGTGTGTGTATTAGGAATTATAAGCTCAAACAATGAAACAGGAATAAAATCTGCCCCCCCCCAGCACAAAGCAAATCAATGAAGTAGGCAATTTCAGAGGCTACAGATGAATAGAAATCTCTCTGCTGTTGCCTGTGCTCAGGAGAGACAGGACCCACTGCCCTTTCGTAGTTCTGCCTACAAGATCCATTGTAATGCTTTATTACTAGAGGCACTCAAAATTCATTTGGTTTCCCAGCATCTTGTTCTATTTTTATATATGTGCTAACTGTTCATTCAAAAATAAAAATACAGGATCATACAAGATGCATGCAGTTGCCTTTCATACTTAAGGATGAAAACTGGTTATGAAGGAGGTTAATATTGTTATTCCAGAGAGACAACTCTGGTTGCTATGGTGAGGAATCTTCTGTCAATCACCCTGATGAAGTTGGCTCCTTTTACAAGAATGGTCTCTATTAGAGCCACAGTTGGAATATATTTGCCACTGAGCTTTGACTTAAATGTTTAACTTGGTGGACAGGTCTGTGTTTTATCAATCGGAATACCATAGTGCAGACTGTAAATGCCCAAGAGCTGAGCTTTCTCTGACTGCTCTCAGAAGGGAGCAGTTTAACAACTCAGGCTAGGTGGTCTTTAATATCTGAAAAAGTGTTGAAGAATTTTGGGAAGGATAGAGCTAACCATGACCATCAAGAGAAAAGCTCTAAGGAATACATTAAAATATTAGGTCTGATTTAGTTTGTAAAATGGGAGTTCCTTTCATGGATTAGGTGATTGATTGATTTTTTAAAAATTCAATGGTTTTGATCTGTAGTGCTCACTGCTTAATGATCTGCCATTCTGGCTGAAATTTATTCAGGCAGTAATCCACAAGAAATTGGTTGTTTTCAGCAGTTTATGACTTGTTATTTAACATTTAACAGAATGGCTATTTATTTTGGAAACAACCAATTCTGAGAGGTTTATTGCTATTGTAAACCATAATCAACTGCTTGTATCATTACTAGTTTTGAAAGAGATAAAATGGGCAGCTGCAAGGGGAAAATTGTTGAGTAGCTTTAAACATTTGCATTTGCGATTGTACAGAGGAGTGACATCACCTTGAAGTTTGCCCGCATTCACAGCCACTCCGCATTTGCCTTCGGTATGAAATATTCAGTGTTGTGGTTAAAATTGGATCCAAATAAGATAATGCTCCTAAGGTCCCTGCAATTTTTTTTCAATTACTTACATGGAAAAAGAAGATAAGACTTGGATGAGCTAGGACAATGCTGTAGATTACATTTTGTTTATCCCAGTATCATAGCAGGAATTAAGCCTCACTGCTTTTGTAGAAACCCAAGTGTTTGAGTAATTTATTCCACCGAACCCTCCGAGAGCTTCTTCTGTCATCAGGGTTTCTGCTTTAGTGCTTGCTGTGCGGCTAGAAGATTCACTACTGGGGACTGAGCTGGAGAATGTGATTAGATCTCTGAGCTGCTCTTCAGCCTAGAGATGCAGAAGCATGTGTGGCATGTCCATGGTGATTTATAAACGATTCAGTGTGCGTCAAAGCCACACCGCTTCTCTCGGGTAGTTTGGTCTGAGATGTCTGGGTTTCCAGACATCTACAGTCCTAGAGCTGACAGGGCCAGGAAGGGGCTGGTGGTTTCCAGCAGATGAGTACTCTGGGCCCTGGGGCAACGAATCTAACTGTGAGGGGGAGCAAATCTCACATCTTGTTGAGCCTCAGTTCCCACTTAAAAAAATACAGATAATAATAGTACAATCTGTCTTACGACAAGAAGTTATCCTGAGAAACAGAGTGAGATGAAATATCAAAGTCATTGTGGAAGACTGAAGATGCAGTGCAGCGCTTTCATTATAAACATCTTTTTCTTATTCTGCACGTCTGTAGGTAGACTAACCCAAATAACAGCTGCAAAGATTTTCCTTCTAGCTCTTGGGAGGCTGAGGCAGGAGGATCACTAGGAGTTCAAGGCCAGCCTGAATTACATCACAAGACCTTGTCTCAAAAAAAACTTCTTTTAAAGATTTTTTTTCTTCCATACATTTGGTATTTAAAAGTTTGATTTGCAAGAATTTTGATTTGCAAGAAGTGTAACGTGACTTCCTCAACCAGAATTTTTAAAGGTAAGACTTTTTCTCTTTAGGAAAAAGGCTTTAAAAAGGGAAATTCAGGAGCTAGGGTGTAGCTCGGTGGTAGAGCACTTGCTTGGCGTGTGTGAGCCTAGGAGGGCTGGGCTTGGAATCTAAAAGCAGAAACAAAACAAACAGAACAGACGCATTTTAATCTCAGGTTTAGGAAAGGAGGCTCCACTTCTCACACAGGTTTTTCCAGAGCTCCTCCAACACTGCTGAGCGGTGGAGGTTGTGAGGCCGCACTGTTACTATGTCCTGCTCCCTAGGTTACCGCCCCTGAGGGGATTAGAAGATTTAAGGAACACAAAGAGTCACAGAGTGTCCTGCAAAAAAAGAGAGGGATAGAAGCATGTACAGAAAGACCGAGCAGAGACATGAGGTGGGTATGTATGTGTAGAGAGACAGAAAGAGATCTGATGAAGACAGAAACAGCTCATTAGCAAGAGACATCAGAGAGAGAGAGAAGAGACAGAGACAGAATCATAACACCGGAAATTTCTTATATCAGGTTATGAGAGAAAACATAACCTGAAGGTGGTGGTGGAATTTACAGAAAAAGGAAGGACACGGAGAAAAAGCAAACAGCAAGATAGAGGATGAAGAGTGGGGGAGAAGAGGAAAAGGAGGAATGGACAAAAAGGTCAGTTCCCCTGAGTGTGCGTGTCTGTGTGTGTGTGTGTGTGTGTGCATGAGAGAGAGAGAGAGGGAGGGATGGAGGGAGGGAGACGGAGAGAAGGAGAGAAGGGGCAGAGAGAGGCAGAGACAGAGGCACTTCCACCCCCAGGGAGATGAGGCACCCTCATTTGCAGCTGCCCAGAGGGAGAAGAGCAGGCAGGGAAGGAAAACTGGAGTCCCCCTGTTTTGTATGGCTTTGCCTCAAAGGGCAAACTCATTTGCAAATGTGACAGGCCTGGAATTAGAAAAGAAATCCTTCTAAACCCCCATGGCTTAGACCAAGAAGCATAAAAGTGTATGCGAAGGTTGGCAGCATCCCTTGATCCCCTTGCTGGGAGCACACAATGGGCCTTGGCCGCGCTGCTCTTAGGGGAAACACTGCTGTCAGAACTGAATTCCCAGCCCAGAGACTTCCCATCCCACACCATGCCACAGTGTGACGGAGATGCCAAGAGTCCTAGTCTTTTGTCTCACGGGGACTCCTTACTGCAATAATAACAACTTCCCAAGTACTTAATATTTATCACATGCCAAAGGCTGGGCTAAATGTGTCTCACACGTTGTCTCATCTAATCTTCATACATCCCAATGAGGCAGGTACTCATTTTTGTTTGTTTTTTGAGACAGGGTAGCCCAGGCTGCCTTGAGCTTGCAGTGATCCTCCTGCCTCAGCCTCCTTGTTATGGGGTAGCTCCTTCTAAAAGTGGATCACGAGATAAACATTACTGGGTTCTGGGTTGGTTGTCTCTCCTTCTGGAGTTAGATTCCAGGTTCTTCTTGTCTCAAACAAAAACGTGAATGAAACATGCAAAAAGCAGTGGCGAAGTTTATTTAAAAAGGTAGAAGTGAAGAGTGAGGGAGACACAGGCCTCTGCAGAGTGAGCTTGGGCTGGGCAAAAGGGAAGAGTCAGATTAAAGCACGGCCTTGAGGAAGCAGGGTGGACTATCATAAGGAAAGCCACGATGACAGCTCTTCTTGGCATTCATGTCCTTTTATACTGTCCAAATCTCAAGGCAACCTATAAGAACTTCTACATACTGCCTAAGAGGCAGTGCTGGGATCCCACGCCTCTGGCTGATGTCAGATCTAGGCCGTCCAATTGAAAACCTGCCCCAGTTCTTGGGAGCAGTCCACACCCAGGGCTTTGAAAACTGTTCTGTGCGTGTGTTCTGGGATCACGTCTACAGCCCCACCCGTTTTGCCATGCCCTAATCTCCCACATCTTCTGGAGCTATGACAACTGGTGTGCATCACCATGCTGGGCACGTCTCTACATTATAAATCACCCAGGTGTAGGTACTTTGTCACTGCAAAAGAGAATGCACTGAGAAAGAGAGAAAAAGAGAGAGAGAAAGAAAGAAGGAAAGAAGGAAGGAAGGAAAGAAGGAAGGAAGGACTAAGACTCCCACATGCTGAGACAGCCAGGCTTAAGTGGCTTAGGCCTGGACAAGGAGCATGCCAGGAAAGACTCCACTCAAGTTTGCCTTTACTTTTGGTTCCCCCTAAAGGAGCCATCCACAAGCAATACAAGGGACACAAGCTGAAGACCCAGCATGGGTGAGTGGGGCTCCCCATATCTCTGCCCTTCCCCTCTGACAAATCCAGTGTTTATGATCCTGGGGGCTGCGGCCGCCAGGGTGGAGGAGGGCAGAGCCTCTGCCTCATTGCACTCCCAGCCCCTTCAGCCACCACAGAGGACTCCACAAGTCAGCAGTCCTGCCCCTCGCGTGGTGTTACAAAGCTCTAGGGCAGGGTTGTCCAGCGGAGCTGGCGACGTTCGGAGTGTTCCATATCTGTAGGACAAAATGGTTGCTACTGCGCACATGTTGCTATTGGTACATGGCTCATGTGCCTGAAGAAATGAATTTTTGAACTTAGTGTTCACTAATTTCAGTTCATATTTAAACACCCATCTGTGACAGTGGCTACCATCCTGGACAGCATGACTCTAGGCTTCTGGATTTCAGGTGGGCCAGCACGGAGGCTTCTCTCCTTATCTGTGCCTGTGCTGCAGGGTTTGTGAATTTCTGTCCAGGCCTCTTTGGGACTCTGTGGGGAGACCTGGCTTGTGTCCTTGAATCTTCATGCATCCTTGGTTTTCACAGCAGTGTGACTTTGCTATGCCCTGTGTATAGGAGGGTGAGGGTAAGAAACAGCAGAATGCATCAGGCAGGCTCTTTCTTGCTCCTGGAGCTGATTTAACCAGAAAATAAACTCATTAGAAGGATATTTAGAGGTACACAGAATCACCAGGAGGTCAGAAGAGTCAGGCCCAGGGCTTCTGCTGCCAGAACAGTGGTTCAGGTTGAATAGGGAGGCACAGCCTACATTACTGGTACTGCTAGCACTCGTTACGAGATGCCACCAGGCAGTGGGGTTGCCAGTCCTGAAAGAGGCCTGATGCCAGCACCCGTGTCATTATTCTAATTTTGAGCAAGTGTTTCAGGCTGGCGGTGCCTGTGTAACCTTCCTACCTGCTAGATGCAAGGGAAGCTGGCAAAGCAAGTAGCTGCCTTACAGCTTCCACAATGGGAGGCAGGATCTGCCTTAGCTCAAGGGGTTCCACAAAGCCAGGAGAGGGCTCAGATGCTTGGTGATTACAAGAATGAATATTCATTCTCAACTACCACACACCACCTCTGTCCAAAGCTCCACTGAGGAAAGCAAGATCTGTGGTTCCTCTAGATTCAGCAAAGCCTAATCATGGATCCAGCCAGGCTACCAGTAAGCTGCTCAGCCAGGTCTTACTGTAGAGGCCGCCGTGCAGAGCTCCTCTCCCAGAGGGCGCTGTGGTGTGGTGCCACACATTGTGGACCGAAAGGATGTAATGACACAGCCGCATTGAAACATCGCGCTGACACTGTGTGCGCTGTGGAAGGCATTGCTTTGTTCACGATCCTCTAGGGTCCTTTGTACAGGAAACGACAGAGATGTATATGTTCAGTCTTAGTAAGTGGAGCAGCTGTGTCTCCTCTGACCACACATGAACAGCTCCAAAGATCTGAGAGGCAGGCTGTCTTCTGCCTGGCTGCTGGGAAGCTTAGGGCGAAGGCCGTACTCACCTAATGCCTGAGAAGACCCCAGAGTATGTATTTTACACACAAATGTCGCTGTTTTTCTCACATCCCCGCCCCACCATTCCCTGAAGGGCTGGCAGCTGGACCTGGGGCCTCGCACACATGCAAGACGGGCTCTGCGACCAAGCCGCTGCCTCAGCTTTCCTAACCTTCCTTTCCCTTTGCCTTGATTTGTCCCCAACTTTATAGTAAGGGCATTAGCTTTCCTTGCGATTATATGTTTGTAATCCACTCTAACTCCTTTTTGGAGCAGATCAAAATAGAAATGCGTAACAACATCATCCCATTAGCACACACTCGAAGGGGCTGAGGCTGCGGAGGAAGGGTCCGGTGGGCGGCGGTGAGGGAAGGCTCTGAGTGGCGCCCTCGCAAGGATACGGAGGGGGACTCACGACATGGAACACGGCAAGGAAGACAAAACCTTCCAGGCAGCGTGGACAAAACCAACATTTATTTTGGTTTTCAGCTTTTTTGTTTTAAATATTCACTGAGGCAATCTGGAGTCAGTTTTTCTTTCTCTCTTCTTTCTTGAGATAGTTTCTCACTACGTAATTTGGGCTTGGCTTGAACTATGTAGTCCAGGTTGGCCTTGAACCCCAGCAATCCTCCTGTCTCCGCCTCCTGAGTCCTGGGACTGCCGGTATGCACCACCAGGCCCAGCACTGGAGGGAAGGTTTTATTACATTGCTCCTGGATGGTTTTCTCTGACTCATATTTTTTTCCTTCTATGTTTTTCCAATTTCCAGGAGGGGCTGGGGCAGGTTGGGAGAGGACTCTGTAGCTAAATTAAGAGGCTCCCATCCCATAGACACAACTTGGCTTCCAGTTGCAAGCCAGTGGCCTGGCTCGGCAGCTCAGCCCTTTCTGTTAATTGTGGACAACACTGAAAGGGTCTTTTCACTTACTTTGGAAAGAAACACTTAGTAAATCCACCCTCTTTGGTAGATTGAGCAGCCAAAGTAGCTTTCAGGACAGCAACTGCTACCAGACTGTCAAGGTTTGGGGTTTTGCTAGGGAAACAATGTAATACAGGACACGTGTTTTATAAGATTTATAACAGTCACCCAAGGAATCATATACAAGAGAGTGCAGGAAATCTGCCCACACACAAAAGACCAAAGAATCCAGCTGAGGGTCTGGATCCCATGGTAATGTCCTGCATGAGTCCAGCTGAAGACCTAGAGCCCATAACAATGCTTCTCATGAGTCCAACTGGAGGCCAAGAGCCCATGACAATATCTCATGCAGGCCTGTTTCAAGGATCTGCTCTGGGAAGGCCCAAAGGTCAATGGTGGAATCTAGAAAGTCTGTGCCAGCAGGATGAAGGATCTGTGCTAGCAGGCTGAGGGATCTGCACTGGAGCCAGGAAGTGATGCTCAAAATAAGAACCAGAGCTCCCCCGCAAAATACTACAGCCATCCTCAGCAACAGTGAGGTCCCGACCTCCTCCGATGGTCAGGACAGCCGAGTTCCCATCAGGAAAACCAATGTCACAAGCTTATCCAGGAGACTGGCAGTGCACCATCATCCCCTCTGGAGCCAGGAAGTGATGCTCAAAATGAGGCCCAGAGCTCCCCCAAAGTGAACCAAAGCCATTTTCAGTGACAACAAGGTCCTGAGCTCCTTTTTTCCAGTTCTAACTTCTTTTCCAGTTCTACTTCTTATTAAGTTCAGCTGGGGGTTACAAGTTGCCCACCAGTTGTCAATCCACCGCACAGACTAATTTCCTTTCCTTGTTTGATGGAATGAAGGAAAGGGCACTGATAAAAGAACAAGCCGTAGACTCCAGCTCCCAGGGCAGCATGGCGCCCTCCCTTCCGCCTCGAGTGCTATTCTCGTCAGCTGAACAAAATGGTAGGTCAGAGTGGAGTGAAATATGGACAGGGTCAAGGGGCCCACGGTGGTCCATATGCTGGAGCCCTGGAGAGCCCCAGGTGAAACCCAGACAAGGACAAGAACCAGGGAAAAACATTCAAAAGATTCTGCAGACATGGAAGGGTTCCTTTATTTGACAGCTTGTTTATCTTCCTGATGGGCCTCAAGCAAAGTGCAGAGAAACCTCTTGTGTGAGGGGCTGGTGTGGCTGTGGGGACCTTCGGAGGTGGGAGGCTCTCCTGGGCATTTTTCTTGGGCCTGGCACCTTCTATGGAAGGTGCTCATTGTTTAAAGAGCCTGGTTTGGGGTGTGACAGATATTCAGATTCGGGTAACAGCTCTGATTCTTCTTAGCTGGACAAGCTCAGGAATGTCACTTATCCTCTCCAGACTTCAATGTCCTTGTCTGTGCAATGGGCATTTTTCCACTGACCTTGTTGTATCCCAAGTATTAAGAAATTAGAATGAATATTAATATCCATTATGCCTGGCACGCAATACATGCTCTCTCTTTTCCCTCCTAACTCCCTGCTTCCCAGTACTTCCCAAATGGTTTATGCCCAGTGAACAGCAAGGTTGTATTAGCTCAGATATGGCACCATTTTGCTGGTTCTGTACTGAAATAAAAAATCCCTCAGGTCTCTGGAGCCCCAACAAAGGAGATGTGTAAACTGAGAAACAGAAATTCGAACACACAGGCACAAAATGAATATAGCCAATTGGACTTCATACTCGTCAATGTTCTATAAGGAAACAGAATTGATAGAAAGAGTCTGCATGGAGGGATTTATTTTAATAAGCTGCTCACAAGGCTGGAAAGTCCCAGATCTGCAGGGTGGGCCAGCGGCTTGAAGATCCAGGGAAACGCAAATGTTGCATTTGAAATCTGAAGGCAGAACTCGCTGTTCCTTGGAGATCAGTCCTTGTATTAAGGTTTTCAACAGACTAGCTGAGTCCCATGCACATTAAGAAGGGTAATGTCCATACATGCCTTCTGATTTGGGGCTGAGGGGATAGCTTAGTGGTGGAGTGTGTGGTTAACATGATTAAGGCACTGGGTTTATTTCCTACCACCAAACTCTGATTTAAATATTAACCTCATCTAAGAATCACCTTCATGGGACCGTCAGAATGAGGTTTGACTGAATAGCTATACACTGAGGCCCAGCTAAACTGACACATAAAATTAGCCATCACAGACTTTATACTGTGCTCAAGGGCTCAAGTGATCTGCATTTCTGTCTTCATTTCTGGTTCTGAAATAAGGTTTCCCTCTTGATACCGGGGCACACAGGGTCTTCGCAGAGGTAGAGATCATAGCTAATCCACCTGAGTATCCTACCAGCTGGCACAGGGCCACACACACATAAGGTCTTAATAATGCTCACTGAATACACAGCAACCTAGAGACTGTAAGTGCTTAGCAATTCAGTTGGTATCTTCTCTGTCAGCTTCTCAAACTAAGAAGATGCAGAGCTCTCTGTGCCATCTGGATTTCTTACTCCACCCAGAAATATACATGGCTTCATGGTGCTCAGACGCCCGTTCTCACATTTGCTAACAGTGTGATTCGAGGCATCTCTCTCAGGCTGGGAGTAGAGGCATGCAGTGGAGTGGTTGCCCAGCATAGGCAAGGCCCTGGGTTTGATCCCCAGCACAGCAAAATAAATAAAAAGACAAACAACTTCATTGCCCTCTCTGGAAGTAAAGCCAGAAAACGCGTGTAGGAAAGGTGACTGGATAGAGCACATGTTCTGACACATGCCTCCCATCGCCACCCCAGGAAAGCATAGATCATTTGGTCGAGGTTGCACAAAGAGAGATATGACAATATTGAGGACAGTCAGGGCGTTTCTATTTGAGTCTCTGCCAAGTTTTACTCACATTTAACTCCATCATTGAATCATCACACAACTTAAAAGGCTGAGAAGGGTATTTTCTGTGTGTATGTCACAAGACTATTAATATCTATATTTATTTATTTGTTTATTTTTGGTACTGGGAATTGAACTTACGACTTCATACTTGTCAGACAGGCGCTGTGCCGCTGAGCTGTATCCTTGGCTTCAATATCTTTTTAGAATGTTGTCTCGGTTACTTTTCTCTTGTTGCTGGGACAAAATACCTGGCACCCAAAATTAAGGAAGGAAAGGTTTATTTAACTTAAAGTTTGTGGAGGTTTCAATCCATACTGCGCTGGTTCCAAGGCAGAGTGGCAGATGGCAGAGGGCTAGCCTTCATGGCAGCAGAACACAGCAAAAACAACAAGCACAAAAGGGAGGAACGATGGCAAACAGCCTCTTTCTCTCCCTTACATGCGCAAACTATCCGCGGGTGTAGCTCTCACATCCATAATCCCAACACTGGATCATGGATCAATCATAAACTCTAAAAGCCTGCCCCATGACTGCATGAAGCTTTGGGGAGGTCATCCAGACACAAACCATAACAAATGTTTAAAATGCATACTCAAAACAATAATTACAAAGGAAACCAATTAGTTTAAAATATAATTTTCATACAAGTAAAAACCCTTTGTGATTCACTATAACGGTGAATATTAATGCAGTAATATACAGATGTAGCACTAAGTCTAAACCTAACTATAATTTTGAAGTAAATGAGTATAAACAATACTTAGAAATGCTTGTAGTAGCTGCAACATAAAATGTCTGTGTGTTCTACTAGGAACAAAGTCAGAGGCTAACAAATGCTGCTTACATTCATAAAGACAATGCTAAATTTCAGTTAGAGGTTCATGCAAATAAAAATGTTTTTCTTCTAGCCTGAAACATAGACCTTTCTCTATTTTGTCTACAATTTCCTTGGAAGTCCATTATTTAACCTTTTTGGTCCTAATTTACAGATGAGGAAACAGGAGTTCAGAGAAGTGAAGGAGCCATTCGAAGATCACACAGGAAATCGTCAAGGTTCCCCTTGAAGGACTGTTTGCCTTACAGCATGTTCTGTTTTCACTTGAGCAGTGCCCCTCAGTCTTTAGTGAGCTGCTCATCATACAGGAATCATGTAACAGTATCCTAGGCCGGGGTCCCATCACTGCAGATTCCTACTCAGGAGGTGTGCAGTGAGGGCTGAGATTCTGCAGCTCTGACCGGAACTGGTGTTTAGTGCTCGTCTCTTTTAGTGGGGATCTGGGTTCTGGCAGAGCCTGTGCCATTGGCCTGGCTCTGCGTCAGGCCTCACCGAGCCTGTCTAGTCTGCAGATGCTTATCTGTGCTGAGCAGGGAGTACTTTGACAAATACTGTGGCTCCACCCCAGCAAGTTGGACAGGCTGCCTGATTCTAAGAAACAGGCAGGCAGTGAAACACTGGTTTAGTGAAAGGGTGTTAACTGTGCTCATAATTGTGGTGTCAGGCACTATGTGTGATGGTTCCCATGTGTCAATTTATTTCATCCTCGCTGCAGTCTTGTGGAGTGTGCGCTTCGATCCCCACTGTACAGATAAGGAAGCTGAGGCTTACGGAGTCTAAGTAACTCATCTAAAGCTACATAGCAAGTAAGTAAACTACCCAAAACTGAAATCCACAGTAGTCTGTTTCCAAAGCCTAAATTCTTAGCATTCTGCCTTTCCTCAATAGAGATACTACAGAGGTGGTAACATTCTCTCTCATTCCAGATCTGACACTTTCCTTTTGAGTTAGTGTTGTCTTTGCTCTGATCAAATGTTTACAACAATGTAATAAACCTGGAAATTTATCAGGCCATGCCCAAAGGAGCCTTGAAGATCTATAAGGTCTTTTCCAGCTCCAGATCAGTCTTCTTAAAGTCTATTTGTCACAAAGGTGCCTCCTCTAGCATCCTAAATGCAACATGATAGGTGACAAATGCTCTGAGAGGTAAGGAGGTCCTTGGACTGGAATCATGTTGGGATGGATGACTATCCTGAGTAGGTTGGTCGACTACTCAGCATCTGATTTAAGCTGGGAATGACGTTTTCAGGCATGTAGGCTACAAATCTTAAGGGCAAATTTGATTTGCTACTCACCTCAGACTGCTTCCCAGCATGGAGGGAAGATGATAGGCTTTGGGGCGAATGACCTAGAAGCAGACCCTGCTTCCCTTCCTGATCGTGTGATTCCGTGAACGGTACTTAAGTGCTTTTTTGGGGGAGGGGTGGTTTTTTGAGACAGGGTCTTGCTATGTAGTTCAGGCTGGCTTTGAACTTACTATGTAGCACAGACTGGCCTCAAACTCAGGTGGATCCCCTTGCCTCAGCCTCCCTAGTGCTGGTAGTACTATGGCTGGCTCAGTACTTAAGCTTTTTTTTTTGGTTTTTCTCCGGTACCGGGAACCGAACTCAGGACCTTGCACTTGCCAGGCAGGCGCTTTGCCGCTGAGCTAAATCCCCAGCCCCCAATACTTAAGCTCTTGAACTCCCTCTTCATGTAAAATGAGGATTAAAATAGCTAACCCGGGTTATTAGGGTTAGATATAATATAAAGAATGGCATAACACGTGACACTTGGTAATTGATAGCTGTGAATACAATCTGCATTTGCTTTATCATAGTTGTTAAACAACTATTCTCCCTTTGTAGCAGCAGATGGGCTGATTTCCACGGAAGACCGAAGGATTCAATTTTAGGGCAAAACAGAGTTTATTGAATTTAGACTGGTCACCGCACATCCCCGACTAGCAGGTTGGGAATGTCAGCGATGGCCTTTGTTTTTAACTTTAAATACACCTTTGGTTTTTATGGTAACCAAAGTATCCTAGGTTATCTTATGGTAACCAAGATTGGACTGTTGTAGCCATTGACACAGATGGCCACACACTGTTTTCCTTGTCCCGTGTGACCCGGTCAGGCCCTGGTCATGAGCCTAACCACAATGATATATACTTTTGCCCTCTGTTTTGTATGTCCCACTTTAGATAACCATACATTTCCTTTACGGTTACAATGTTTATCTAGGACCAGGGGAGGGGTGAAACAACCCAAACAAGGTCATAGATGGTTATCTAGGCCTGGGTATTTTCTTCCCTTAAGGAAACATCCCAGGGCAAAGTTAACTCCTCTGGGATGTTTCTCAAGACACACTTGAGGCTTGTACTTAAGACTAAGACTACTCTAATTTAAGAATGATATGCTAAGAGTTGCTGTCCCCTACACCTTAGCCAAAAGTCTTTGCTAATCAGTTAGATATTTTAGTAAAGCTGTTCAAATTTCATTACAGTGTCATTGTAGTCTGACTTTAGATCCAGAAGTCTGCATATTTGCTCATAGGTTCTTCTTATAAGACCAATTTCTAAGACATACTAGGAAGGACCAGAGGGGTGGTGGTGGTGTGTGTGTTGGAATAAGGAAACTAGAATTGTTGAGAATTTACTTTTATAAAAAATCACTTACTGTTGTTGTAATATTTGTATAGTACTTGAAATAAAAAACAAGTTGACTTTATTTATACTTTGGGTTTCTCATGTAAGAGAAATCATGCAATATTTAAGCTTGTGTGTTTTGATTTATTGCACTTAACATGATGGGCTCAAGGTTTTCCTACCAATGACTCAAATCTATTTTTGCTTTCTCAAAGGGGAAGGGGAACAAGAGATAGAAGGAGGGGAAGGATAGGGGAGGAAAACACGAATTAAGGTGTGTTATGTACATGTACCAACTCCTCACAGGGAATATAATTACGTACCACACATATGTGCTAATAAAAAAAACTAGTGCAGTCAAAAAGGCAGTTAAAAGGGACATTTTTGGAAAAGCTACATATTACAGGCACTAAACAGGCATTTGCCCACCAGAGACTGCAAGGATAGAAACAGCCTGCTGCAGCACGTGTACCCCAAGTTCATCACCATTGGATACAAATACCTCTCTAAGGTACAGTTATTATGGGTCAGTTATTAAAAGGCAGCTTATAAAACTTACACAAGATTGCTGTGCTAAGAGAGTGGATCAAGGATGTAAAGCTAGGTGAGTGTGACTCAGAAAAATGTGCTACTACAGATTGTCCCTTAGTGAGCATCTAACTGAAGAGGACCAGGGAAGGCTGGGTCCTGCTCAAAGCAACACAGCAGATTAGCTGCACTAGGAGACTAGAACCCAGGTCCTCAGTTCTCAAAGTTATAGGAACTCAGTTATATAGAAAAAACTGCCATCTTCACATTAAAATAAACCAAAAAAACAAATTTTCAACTGAAACAAAATTTCAAACTGGGTAATTTAAGTTAGACATACAATATTATCAGAAAATGCCTGGATAGGGTGGGGGATATAGCTCAGAGGCACAGCGCCTGCGTGACAAGCACAAGATCCTGAGTTCAATTCCCAGTACCAAAAAAAATAAAAAGAAAATGCCTGGATAACATAAGGATTTTCTAGCACTCCCCTCCAGCAATTTGGATGGGTGGTAGAATCTCCCAAGAGGCATTAGAATAAATATGAGAATCACAAAGAAAGGGATAGACACCACCCTTCTCTGAAATGGGATCAAATTGGCAGCACATGTGGTCATGTCTGCCTAATAGAGCGGGGGCAGAACAAGATTAAAAACAACTATGTTAAATGAAAAACATTTTCATATAGAGTTGAGCATGTGCAGATCTCATTGGAGCAACCAGAATCACTTGCAGATGTTGCCTGGCAGTTTTACACCTGGCTCATCAAAAGAGACTAATTGGCTTTAAGGCATTGTCAGCTGGGTTGCAAAAGAAATTTAGGTGCATCCATGTGATAGGTTTGCAGCAGAGCCAACATGTGGCAACGTCTTCAGTGTAGGTGAACTCTTACACAGAGCTCTAAATAGAAATCTACAAGTGATGCAACATTATGGTGCACACCCCTGTAATTGCAGATACTTAGAGGCTGAGGCAGGGGATAGCAAGTTTGAGGACAGGGTGAACAATTTAGCCAGAAGGTGTTTGAAAAAGGGAAGCAGGTGTAGTTCAGTGCTCCCTGGGTTCAATCCCCAGCACTGCAAATAACAACAAAATCAAAACCAGGGATGCATTAGTACCAGAGGTGGATTTAAACGAACATTTCTCAGCTACTTACAAAATGGAGCAAAGATCTGAGCCTGGAGCTTAAAGTAAGAACAGAAAGATCCCAAGCTTTGGATTCTGTGTTGTTTGGCTGTTGGTTGAGGCACATCCCCATGTGCAAGGCAGCTGCTCTGCAACACTAGCCGCTCTGCAAATGCAGAATGGTTCTTGGATGAAAAATCAATGCTGTTGTGCCTCACAAACATATTAATAATGCTTTGAACACCTCTCCTAGAGGAAGCCAGAGCTTGCCATGTGCTGTCCCTCATTATTACTCATGCCACGCTCATTAGTCTCACAGTCTCCCTTTGGGACCAGGAGGTGCGTGAGATTCCAGTGCGGGGGACAAGGCCAGGCCGCTGAAGAGAACCGAGGGCCAAGTGCTCACATGGGACAGCAGAAGCTGGTAACCTACGCTGCGCGGCTCAGCAGGCAGATGAGGGTGTAGTGGGTACAAAAGTGATAAAAAGGCCAGGGTAGGTGAGGACGAAGGCAAGGGAAATTCTTAGATGAGAAAAATCTTTCTCTGCCCTTGTGCATTTTTAGTGTCCAGACAACTGCTACCCATTTCATCATTTAGTCCAGTGAGTCAGAACCCTTGTCAGTTACCAAACACTAAAAAAATCTTTAAACCTCTTCTAGTTGATCAATTTGTCCCCTAAAGCCAATTTACACCACAGCAATTCCCACCGCCACTGGTGAATGAGGCACTGAACAATTACCGCCTGACCTACTGCTGACCTCCACTAACTAGGTGTTCACGGTGCCAGATATTTCTAGTCAGTTTAGACTGGGACAGATTTGTCAGCCAGACTGTTCTTCTTTCCTCAGAAACAACTGTCAGCCACAGTGTGAAGGAAACCCTCCGACACTCTTGACATTACTCAATACAAGTGGCCCTCTGACCTGCTGACGCCAGGGACTTTACTCAGACCTAAAAGACAAGGCTGAAATGCACTAAGAGTATTTCTGAGCCTTGCACCAGATTCGAGGATCTGCCTGTTAGGCATTCTCACTCTATGAAAAGATCTGGCTTAAAGAAAAGTGGTAACACATTAAAATAACCTATTTGTCTTTCATTTCCATATAAAGTGTATGCAGGGAATAGCTGCTTCAAATATATTTTGAATAAAAAACTCAAATGAACTACTTCATCAATTCAAAGTGTTTTCAGGTTTTCTCTGATTTTCTTCTCCAGTAAATGTCTTAAAATTCAACATCCCACACAATGTACATATTCTTGCATAGTTTCATATTATGGTAATATATACTCTGTTATGTCCATACAGACAACTGATGTTCTATACATACATCCCATCAACAGAGTCAAACACATGTTCACTGTATGATTGTGTATCTTGTTGTTAATTCACCAGACTGCTGTGGAAAGATATTTTTCCTCTGGCAAAACAATTCAAGCTTCCATGGTACACTAGTCAGACCTTTTTCCTTATGTTAAGCCAACACTACCAGTCCTCTTTACTCTATGGATCTAAACACAAATCACATGATAGCTCCATGACATGAGACCTCCTCAGGCCAAGAGAGGGCAATATATCCTGTGCCCAGTGAATGTCTAACTGGGCTAGATATGTTATGATGTGACTGCTTCCTGGAGCAAGGTGTGCATACATGTACATACATGTTCCCATGATGAAAGTGCCAGGAAGAAAAAGCAGAGGGCACCTCTGTACTCGCTTCCTTTGGGGAACAGAACTGAGCAGTATTCCTCACTTTAAAATATGAGATTGCAGGCATTTGTGCAGGCATATTCAATAATATACCATGGGAGGTGACAGCTCAGTTGTGTCAGCAATTCTACTACCAATGCCTATGTTTGGAATTCCTCACAACTCAAAAGCACTGAAGGCCAAAAAAAAAAAAAAAAAAAAAAAAAAAATATGAAGACACCCAAGGCAAGAATTAAGAAAAAA